AAAGATGGAAGTATGAGAATGTGCATTGATTACCGAGAGCTGAATAAGGCAAAAATAAAGAATAGATATCCGTTGTCGAGGATTGATGACCTATTTGATCAACTACAAGGTTCGAGCTATTTCTCGAAGATCGACCTAAGGTCAGGATATCATCAGCTGAAAGTAAGAGAGCAGGATATAGAGAAGACTGCCTTCAGAACTAGATATGGACACTACGAGTTCTTGGTTATGTCGTTTGGACTAACCAATGCTCCGGAAGCATTCATGGATTTAATGAATAGGGTTTTTAATCCGTTCCTTGATAAATCTATGATAGTGTTCATAGATGACATTCTGATTTACTCGAAAAGCCAGGAGGAGCATGGCAGACACTTGCGAGAAGTGTTAGAAGTCTTGAAGAAGGAGAAACTGTATGCTAAGTTATCCAAATGTGATTTTTGGATTCGTGAAGTCCAATTTTTGGGTCACGTGGTCAACCAAGAAGGGATAATGGTTGATCCAGCGAAGATCGAAGCTGTGATGAAGTGCGAACAACCGAAAAGTCCCACGGAGATTCGAAGCTTTTTGGGATTAGTTGGATATTACTGAAGGTTTATCCAAGGTTTTTCTTCGATCGCTACTCCGTTGACAACTTTGACCCACAAAGGAGCTACTTATGCTTGGAGTGAGAAGCATAAAGAAGCATTCGAGAAGCTAAAGAAGAAACTATGCGAGGCACCGATACTTTCTCTACCCGATGGAGTTGAAGACTTCGCTGTTTATAGCGATGCGTCTGGGGTTGGATTGGGTTGTGTTTTGACCCAAAGAGAAAAGGTGATAGCATATGCGTCTCGACAACTGAAAGAGCATGAAAAGAACTACCCGACTCATGATTTGGAGTTGGTAGCGGTAGTTTTCGCTCTGAAGATATGGAGGCATTACCTCTATGGCACGAAGTGCAAACTTTTCACTGATCATAAGAGTCTCCAATATCTCTTCAATCAGAAAGAGTTAAATATGAGGCAACGACGCTGGCTAGAATTGCTTAAGGACTATGACTGTGAGATACTTTACCACCTTGGTAAAGCAAATGTTGTTGCTGATGCTCTCAGTCGGAAAGTCAATCTTGAAAGAAAAAGGCCAAGAGTGTTGAGAATTGAAGTTGTCTCGACCATTGTGGAAAGTATAAAGAAAGCTCAAGAGGAAGCTTCTGAGAAGAATAACCGAAAGGAGGAACGTTTGGGCAAAATGTTGGTGTTCGGTGTAAACAGTCATGGACTGAAGGTGTTCCAAGATCGGATTTGGATACCTAAGATAGGAGGAGTCGGAGATCTTCTGATGGAAGAAGCTCACAAGACCATGTACTCTATTCATCCCGGTAGCACTAAAATGTATAGGGACCTGGAACCCTACTACTGGTGGCCGACGATGAAGCTTGATGTTGCGAAGTATGTGGCTGAGTGTGTGACTTGTGCGAGAGTCAAGACACAACACCAGAAACCGTATGGGAGTTTAGAAGCATTTCCTGTGCCTATGGGTAAGTGAGAAGACATTGCTATGGATTTTGTCACTAAACTGCCCAGAACAAAGAATGGCCACGACATGATTTGGATGGTCGTCGATCGATTCACTAAGAGTGCGTATTTCATAGCATCCAGGGAGAAATGGTCTATGGAAAAGCTTGCGAATTCTTATGTGAAGGAAATTGTGAGACTTCACGGTGTTCCGCTAACAATTGTGTCGGATCGTGATAGTCGTTTCACCTCAAGATTTTGGAAAAGTCTACAAGAGGAAATGGGTACCAAGTTATGTTTAAGTACAACTTACCATCCGCAGACTGATGGTCAGAGTGAAAAAACGATACAAACACTTGAAGATATGTTGAGAGCATGTACCTTGGAATTCCTAGGTAATTGGGATGAACATTTACCATTGGTAGAATTTTCCTATAACAATAGTTTTCACTCGAGCATTAAGATGGCACCTTACCAAGCTTTGTATGGAAAAAGTGCTGTACGCCGTCTTGTTGGCTTGAGGCTGGGGAAAAGCAGTTTATGGGACCGTAGATGGTTCATCAAACTGCTGAAAAGTTGAAAATAATTAGGGAAAGAATGTTAGCAGCTCAGGATCGTCAAAAGAGCTATGCTGACAACAAGCGAAGACCGATGACTTTCGAAGTTGGAGATTCGGTTTTGCTTAAAGTCTCGCCGTGGAAGGGACTTATAAGATTTGGAAAAGGGGGAAAGATAAGTCCAAGGTTTATTGGACCGTTTAAAGTTCTTCAGAGAATTGGGAACCAAGCTTACAAGCTCGAACTACCAGAAGAACTGAATGGAATTCATAACACTTTCCATGTGTGTTATTTGAGGATGTTCACGGGAGAAGTTCCCGACATGATTCCACTTTCGGAGTTGAGAATCGATGAGAACAAAAGGTTGATTGAAGAACCAGAGACAATTGTTGACCGAAAGACTAAGAAGTTGCGACGCAAGATGGTCGAGTTAGTGCTTGTCCGATGGAAACACACGAATGGGCCGAATCTCACCTGGGAGATGGAGAGTGACATGATGGGTCGCTATCCGCATTTGTTTGTTGATGTGTGATTCCAGGGACGGAATCATTCTAAGGTGGAGAGAATTGTAACGCCTGTGTTTCTGGGCTTGTCATTAATGTTGGTATAATAGTCTAGGTTAACCTTTGTAACCCATTTTGAAATAATGGAAGTGTATTATTTGAGTATTATGTGTTATGAGCTAAATCGTGTGTCTTAATTTAATTAAGAATAAAAATAAGCTTCAAAATGAAATGTTAGATAAATCCTATATTTATGGATAATGTTGTAGTAGTTGAAACGAGGTTTCCGAATATATAAAGAATGCTGAAATCCAAGTTATAACGAAGAAGTTATGATCTGTCGAAATTTCGCGACAGAACCGACACGACCCAACGCGACGTAAATAGTGAATTTAAGGTAGATATATATCTATCCTTATTGATCTAAATGAGAATTGAAGATCTCATAGATAGTAGTGCAACGACGGAAAGACGAACGGAATCGGAGTTCAGATGAAGGAGTTATGAATTTCGAACGGAGTTTTCCTGTCCCGGCCTACTAAAAATAATATATAAGTAATATACTTATAATATATTAAAAATAAATTCAAAATTAGCCAATGGAGTCTAAACGAGAGTTGTAGAGAATAATCTCACCTTCGCGACGATATAAAGAACGTCGAAAACGGAGTTCGTATGCGAAAGTTATGAATTTCTAAAGTCCGGGGCGCGAAACCCCTAAACTGTCAGAGACCACGACGTGGCAAGCAGTGCCACGACGTGCCAAGTGTCCTGACACCTCTGGGAGGCCCCCATATGCAACTTAGGATGACGCATGCAGTGACGACCAAGCCCACGACGTGGAAAAAGGTTGCCACGACGTGGCAAGGGCCAAATTTGCCCTATAAATAGATTTGAAGGGCCAGCCGTTTAGGGTTGCTATTTTCTCTCTTCTCTCCCCCGTTTTACATCGATTTGCGTGCCAGAAGTACCCCGAAGCCCCGGTAATATCCCTGAGTCCCAAATCAAGTCCCGAGATCCCGAGAAGTGCGGTTTCCGAGCCGAAGCTCTCCCCGCGAGAAGTTCGACTTTTGTAGAGATCTTCCAGATCTGCTGAGGATTACTACTTCTGCAAGCCGTAGTGCTGTCCGATCATCTTCTGATCAAGTGAGTGTATACTACCTTTCATAAACACAATAATAATTCAAGTATGATTTGAGTGTACTAAGTATATTGTTGTTTATATGTGTGAGTATGTAGTTACTTTCTTCTAACGCATAATTATGAAGTATTTTATACGAAATACGTGTTATGTGTATAATTTTGTTGTTTTGTGCGTGAATGTATATTCACTCTCTTCAATTTCATAGATCTGATTTGTTTTCTATGAAATACGTGTTATGTGGGTGTGCCTCATCTGTTATGTGAAGTATGTATTGGATGAAAATGCTATACAGGTTTTAAACTATGTATATAAATATATATTTTTATCTACTAATATGTTGGGTAGAACATGGGTAGATAGTTGGTGTGTAATAAACAGATGAGAGGCCTCAATGTTGTTGTTGTTGACCTAATTATTCAGCGGAGTATGGATAACGACCACAGACTCCTTCTAGATAGTCTCGTGGAACGCTAGCAGGTTCATAACCTGTAGGTGTTGTGAACGATGTGTTCACCGGTGTACTCTATCCCCCTCATGGTTGTCTATTGTTGAGGAAACCCTTAGCAGTAATGTCCGTCCCGATGAAAATCCTAGATTAGGTCCCTTGAGATAGATGTTGTTTTAGGGACGTAAAGTGAGGATAACGGGAATGGGTAATCGAGATAGTGATTGGTTGGTGAAATTAAATATAATTTATTTATTGTGGGTTGAAAACCCTATATGCTCACCAGGCTCCCAAGCCTGACCCACTCAGTTTTATTTGTATTACAGGAAGTGGCGCAAGGGCGTAAGATGGATGAACCATCAAGTTGTTTTGTTTACAAGTCTGCATATGTATATATGTGTTGAATGACTTGTAATGTTATCGTTTATGCTTATTGTTCTGTATCGGAACATGACACCCCGAGTTTTGATTATATAATGAAAATACATTTCTTTTATGAAATGCTTTGGTAAACATTGTTTTATCATGTTTTGTTTTTGGGAACAAATTCCGCAACTCTTTCAAATCAAAAGGATTTACTCTGAAATTATTTTAAAAAGCATAAATGAAAATCGGTCTTTTCTGGCCGTGATTTTGGGGATGTCACATTAGTCTCTCTATTATTATTGTTTTTTCTACTTAATGCAAACAAAACAGCGCTATAGTTTTAAATGAGTTTTTGTGTATGCATGTTTGTGACTTTTTTCCTTATGTAATTAGGGTTATCGTTTTGTTATCCTGTTTTCATTTGCAGATATCAATATTAATTTTGCTATAGATGTTACAAATTCTTAATTATGTTTATTTTTAAACCAAAAAATGGAGAAACAATCTGAAGAATTGAGGGGCATATCAGGTAGATATGAACATGACAAGAAAGTTTGGGTGGCTGCGGTCAAGGAAGTAGGTATTGAAACCATACCACTCTCAGCTCTCTCTTCAAGCACATCATTGTGCTGACTCAGTTCCTTCTTGATCTCAATAACATGGTTTCTGCAGTTCATGCAATGGGTGGGTAAATTAGTAAATTCATGGTTAAATTTTCACCCTATTGTAAGTTTTAACATTTTCTATCATTACTTTTAGTTGCACAGTGTGAGCATCTTAAAGTCAAATACAACAAAGAACAAATCAAGGGAAGAAAGCTTCATAATCAATTCGAGGATATAAAAGGTGTGCAAACTTTTTCTTTTTCTTAAACAAACATATAAAGTTTCTAACTTTCTATAAATACTATTTTTTTTTTAAAAATTTTGATTCATCATCAGACAGACAATGCTTCACCATTGGTGGCTTTACTTTTCGATGGATACTATGGTGAAACAGAGACAGGAAAGACATTTACCATGGAGGGTATTAAGGGAAATCGATGAGTTAGTTACAGAACAGTAGAAGAATTATTCAAAATTGCAAAATAAAGAATTCATACTTTTGCTTAGCAGTCGAACCTACAAATGATTATGCACAAGATTCACCATCAAAGTTGTCTTCTCCTGGGTTAACTACATGGGCCAAAACTCTGAAACTTCCACAACCTTTAGGAGGCACACAAGATGAATCTTCTTCATCTGAAAACACTCCAACAATGATAATGCGCATGGACGTTTCATCTTCAGGAAAGTTGCCAAGTCTCGGGTGGTATATTGATAAAGATTTAAGTGGTGTTTATTTGGCAAAATAGTAGTTTTCCCACCCAACACCATGATCTACGAAAATCATATGTCATAGCGAGCATCCAATATCACTCCTACTATTTTGTAATCAAATGCCATGTAATGAGTAGTACTTTTTTGTAATCCAATGGAATGTAACCATAAGTTCTTACTGTTTTCTAATCTAATGTCATGTTAACTCCTCTCTTCATATATTTATCTGCTGAAAAAACATAACAATACAAACTTAAACAAATAAATTTATATACACATCATTTTGAAAACAGCATCCACTCCTTCTGACCCCCGCGTAGCGGTGGTCACCTTTCTAGTTATTATTATTATTATTATTATTATTATTATTATTATTATTGGAACGGCGACTAGCATTTCTAATTATCGAGGGTTTTAAGGGTGCGTTTAATTGCGGAAAAATGAGCCGTTTCCGGAAAAAAATTTCAGAGAAAAATGAGAATTTTTAAAACGCGTTTAGTTCGTCTATTTTTCTAAATTTTTCATAGAAAATGAAAATTTTCCGTTTTCTAAAATTACAAATAAGTTCAATTTTTTTGGAAAACTGATAATTTTTGTTTTCCACATTTTTTTAATTCTAATTTTTTTCTAAAACATCCTATCCACCTCTACCTAACATGACCTTAACACCTCCAACCCACCACAACCCTACCTACCCACACTCACTCTCAAGCCCCCCCACCCACACACATACAGACACACAAACCCCGACAAACACACATACACACACACAAACCCCCATAAGCACGCACACACACCCACATCCACCCACAAACACACACATACACACACATACACACCCACAAACACAAACATACACCCCCCACAAACACACACACACACACACCACCCCCACAAACACATACACATACACACCCCCACAAACCCCCACCTACACCCCCACAAACACACACCCACGCCCACCCACACCCCCGCAAATACACACACACAGAACCACAAACTCACACCCACACCCACCCACCCCCACAAACACACACACACATCCACCCATCCAACACCACTACCACAATCACTAACCTACCGTCACCATCATGTAACGCCCGCAGATCCGGGCTAGTCAATTTAGAAATAATAAGCATCAAAAATGAGTTTTTGATGGAAGATTATTTAGAAGGATTAATCTTAACTAAGTTGTAGTATATGTTACAAGGGTTCAGTACATATAAAGAACGCCGAAATCCAAGTTATAACGAAGAAGTTATGACCCATCGAAGTTTTTCGGCAAAACCGGCACGACACCGGGAGACGTAAATAGTGAATTTACGATAGAGGACTTTTTAGTCTTAGTAATTCTAAAAAATTCGTAGAATATGTAAAACTAAGAGCATCCATAAAAAGAACGCCCAAATCTGACTTCGTATACATTGGGCATAGCAGTGCACGGTCCGTAACTCAAATTTTAGTTCGAGCGATTTTTGGCCTACACAATCTAAATGAGATTTGAAGATCTCATTAATACGAAATCAACGATAAAAAGACAGACGAAAACGGAGTCAATATGTAGAAGTTATGAATTTTACGTGGACATTTAACAGTATAATCTCCTCATACTGTAAATTTAAGTTCGGTCGAGAATTAGCCGATGGAGTCTAAATGAAAGTTTTAGATCTTGTTTTTACCTATGCGCGGATATAAAGAATGTCGAGAGTAGAGCTCGTATGTTAAACATATATACGAAACTTGGTCTCTACTCTTTGAGCGCGATAAATTCGATACAGTTTTGTAAATCTGAGATAGAATGAGAATTAGCTGGCGGCGTCTAAATGAAAGTTGTAGTGCTCGTAAATACCAACGTGTGGATATAAAGAACGTCAAAAATGGCGTTCGTATGAACGAGTTACAAATTATAATAGCATATTTATGCATTAAAATAAAGTATAAATTATATATACTTACACATATATATACAAATGTATATATCATTAGAAAGGTATCGACGATGCGGTTATTATAAGACTAGTGTTGAGTACTTTCGACATTAGTTTAGTACAATTATCGTTAAATCTATTTAAAGTAGTATTATGAATGAGTGTTTAGTCGTTTATATAACTATAAGGTCATTAAGTAATTATGGAAGATAGTTTTTGTAAATTCAATTACTATAAATAAGAGGTTTGGGCTCTCAAATTTCTTGCACCATTCTCTTGATTCAAGGGTCTTTCTCTTCTTATCCCCCGAGCATTTTGGTCCCTCGTGATTCGACTTCTCTTTCTGTAGTTTTAGTATACTAAGGTGAGCGCTGAAGCACTGCACGAATCTTTCTTAGAAAGATTCTGCGACGAAGTTCTGCCCCTGTATGGTCCGACTCCTAGCTAAAACTCCCTTGTAAGTAAGTTATGTTTACACTATTTTAATATAACTTATATTTAAAATTAGTATTGTTATTATGAACTTATAATAAATATTTGAGCTATTATTATATAAGTGTCGTTATAATATCTTTTTAACTGCTCGCGGTACGGGGAGTCTGGTTTAAAGGGCCGCATATGGTTGTTGGATTTCAGAAGTGTTGTATGCCAAAATGGTCATGCCCTCCGGTGTTTTATGTCTGAACCATGTCTGTACATAGTGATTGGAAAGTGTTTTTTAAACGCTTATATAATAATAATAAGACTAATAATTAGTCACGGTAAATATTAGACTAAAATCTAGTGGTAATAATACTAGGTTTCGTCGAAGGAAATTATTTTAAAGTAAACAAAGCGCTGTCCGAGTACCGAATCACCACCTTATCAAGTGAGTGCATGGTTCATTTCATCTTACACATAGATATGAAGTATTGTATATGAACTACGTGTTATGTGTGCATATTATCTGTATAATTGCTATCTATGTTGGATGAACGATTTTATACAAGTTTTATATGATTGAAACTGTATATGTTTTTATATCTACATAATATGTTGGGTAAAACATGGGTAGATGAAATATGAGTTGGATGATGAGTTGAGAGGTGATACAAACCATGATGTAAGGGTGAGAGGTGGACGATAGAGAAGCCTTGTTCCCGAATGCTGTCCCCCTCATCTAGCAGAGTATGGATGACAACCACAGACTATTCTAGACAGTCCAGTGGAACACTAGCTAGGGGTGGGAATTATTTGGTCCGGATCCAAAAAACCCAAAAACCAAATCGAACCGAAATCGATTTCAAACCGAACTATATTCGAATTTGGTTTTCGATTTGGTTCAAGACCAAATCGAATTGTGAATTTGGTTTTTGGTTCGATTTTCGGTCTCATGATGTTTAAACCAAACCGAACCGAAAAAACTGAATTTCATAAATAAATTAATTAAAAATATATTTTATATTTTATATTAAATAAAAGTATAAATAATAAAGTAAAAATCATTTTAATTCATTTACTCTTTGGATCATTTTGTAATGAAACTTTAGATATTTCTGATTGCAACTTCAGGTTTCCATTTTAAAAACATTTTAATTTATGTTTGAAATTTTTTTAAGTTTACATTTGGTTTCCTCGGTTTTCAAACCAAACCAAACCAAATTAGAATTCGGTTTTCAGTTTGATCAAGAGAAATTGAATTCAATTTTGTTCGGTTTTCGAATTGGACCAAAAAAATTTTCAAACCGAGTAAACCGATTCGAGGAAACCGAAAAACCACAAAACTGAACCGATTCCCACCCCTAACACTAGCAGGCTCGCAACCTGTACGTGTTGTGAACGATGTGTTCACCCAGTGTACTCTAAACCTTGGCGATCATGCAGACTTGATGCCTAAACCCTGGTGACTATGCAGACTTAGTGCCTAAATCTTGGCGATCAGGCAGACTTGATGCCTAAACCCTGGTGACTATGCAGACTTAGTGCCTAAACCTTGGCGATCATGCAGACTTGATGCCTAAACCCTGGTGACCATGCAGACTTGGTGCCTAATCCATGGCAACTATACATACTTAGTGCCTATTGTGTAAACCGTGACAACGATGGACTTCATGCCGATTCCTTAGGATGATCCTTAGGAATAAATGAACGAGGAATAGCTGATTGTTAGGGTAAATCCTTAAGAGTAAATAAGATAATGGGGATGTGTAATTGGGTTGATTGTTAGATGTTTAAACATAATAATTATATTATTGTGGGTTGAAAACCCTATGTACTTACCAGGTTTCCCAACCTGACCGACTCAGTTTATTTATATCACATGTGTTGATATGAAGTCACATTACACTGAGAGATTAAGGAGATATAAATCACTAGTGATAATGAATGTAAGTTCTATTTATGCTTATGTTTCTGTATTGACGATGACATCCCAAATGTTTTAAAATGAATAAAAATACTTTTCTTCGGAAATGCTTTGATAACGTATTTATCATGTTTTACTGGGAACAAATTTCGCAACATTTTTATTAAAAGAGGTACTCTGATTTTTATAAAGCATAAACAAAATCGATCTTTTTTGGTCGTGAAGATGGGGATGCCACAGTTGGTATTAGCGCCTTAGTTTAAGCAAACTAGGAATATAGATTTATTTCTAGACTTAAACTTAGAATGCTAAGCGATGATCGTGAGGAGTGTGTCTAATATATTTTAGGTAGTACAACTGAATAGACACAAGCAGTAGCTTATTTAGGGAAGATGCCTAACATGTTTTTATGTGCTTAATAATTTGTGATGCTTTATGCTATCGTTTGATCGGATCTAACTGTTGCCGACCGGATCTGGAAATTTTATGTGTTCAGATTTATGAACGTTTAATTATGATATTAGAACTGGCATGTAATTTTTTTAAGTAATAAGGAGGAATATGCATCTAAAACCTCCTCCATCTTTATTCTCGTCTCAATACACCAAACGACTGCTCTGGTGTGCAGAACATCATGGTGAAGACTCGTAGTGAATTGAGTAAATAGAGGAAATGAGAAGGCTTACGATATTGAATAGTACCTATCAGAAGATATCATAAGAGTGATATCTTGCCTTTAGAATGCGTCTAATAAATAACATGT